CCATCCATTATTCAGGTACGTTTTTCACACATATATTCAGCAATATATTTTCTCAACATCCTTGTCTGACTTAAGCATCGGAGGGGCGACGAGGACACACCTCGACGCCTTTGTTTCAGGTACGGAAGATCTTGTTCGTGCTCAATCTCAGTGACCAAGCTCGGGACTCGATAGGTGACGATTTTTGGTAAGATCAGTACATATCCTATTGTTTAAATTTTATTTATTCAAATTATACACATTATAGGCCTCTCACAAAAATTATATATATATATATATATTACATGTAATTTCTATAATATTATATCAACATACTCAAATTTGTCACTGTAGAACCTGTTTGTTTCCCATTTTTATAGTAGGAAGACATTTTGAAATAGAAGATTGACGGAGAATATATGATTGAAAAATAAGGAAATTTTTTGAATTTATGTGTAATATTATTTTATTAAAAAATATGTGATTAAAAAAGAAAGATAAAAACTTATTTTAAAAAAATGGGGATTAAACAAGGGACAATTAAATTATAGATAAAAATATGTTATAAATTATTCAAAAAGAATCTTTAAATTGTATGTTTAATCTATATATGATATGGAGGATAATTCAAATATATTACATTTTACTAAATCAATAATGACATATGATATTATTAATAAAATATTAGAAAGAACGTTTCAACGTGTGCTAATATATTGGCTGGTGTAAATTAAAATAAAACTTTTAACAAATTTTGATAAAAGTTAATGAAAAATGTGTAATAAAAATTAATTGTTAACTTTTACTTAAAATTAAAATCAGATATTGATTTATACCAAACAGGGCATTGTAAATTAGATCCTATTAATTTTGGACTTTGCACGCAGTTTGAACTTTGAAGAGAGTAACAAAAGGAATGACAGCTTTCGAACTTTTATTAAGCCGTGTTTGCAAATTGATATGGAAAGCAACTAGATTATTTTCCAAGTAAATTCACAGGTATTGTGTGTTGCACCCACAATGGAAATTTTCTCTATCAATTAAGAGTGAATAACATACACACTAAGCAACTAGATATAACCAAGCAAATGTAGTTCATAGGTGAACAACTTGGTTATATAGCCGGTATTATTCGAAGTAATGTGCTCTAAAGCCAATTTCGCAAGGACCTGATGGTTTGTCTCTCCCACAGCATGAGAAACTTCAAAAATCTAACTTTGGCAATAAAAAATGGAAAATTGTGTTGAGTTCTTAAATGATGAAATGGAGTACCATAGAAGCCATTTCAACTCTGATGGACAAACTTGATTCCCTTTTCAATGGAGGATTTCAGCTCCGGCTTGAGAGCTTCCAGGCCTTGCTGCTCGAAGTCAGAAAGCGAACCCAAACCTAGGACTTCCTCTACACCATTCTTCCCAAGTCTCACCTAGTATTTTGCACACAACACTGATATTAGAGGCCTATCAGAAAAAGAAAAAAATTGGAAATGCAGAATGCAACCTGAAAAGCCAATAAATGAACTTTCAGATTCTGTTACCTAAGCAGCCCTTCTGAGGGGAAGGGAGCTGCAAAAGAATACAAAGGTACGGGAGGGTAATGAGATGTCATTCTCTCTACCCACATTTCACTAAATTTTATCATTCTCGACCTGCTTTTTGTGGAAATTTTCAATCATCATCATAAGATGTGGTTCCTTGTAAATGATAAGAAATGGTCATACTTTAATGGATGCCTCTCAGTATTGCATGAAACAGCTTCTCATAACATGAAACCCAATGCCCTTTTTTTTGGAAATACATTCAACCAAGGGCTTATTATATATAATAACCATTCAACAAGGTGAGATTCAAATCATTGGTCGTTTACCAAGTCATACCGATTGAAAGCTATCAATATAAATAACGAAGTGTTTGGGTATCATCATTGCATAAATTTTTTGAACTCACTTTGGATGCAAAGAAGGGTAACTCAGTGACTGTTGACTGCACGAATGAACATTCCACTACATCTGGGACTCCATTAAGTCCTTTCAAGCAAGCATCAGCAAATATAGCCCCTGCATAGCTACAGAGAGCATATTGCTGTTAGTACAAATTAGTTAAATCAACCAGTTACTAGAAGAAATACATGAATAGCACATTGTTGCCATATATATAGATTGCTATGGTTTAGGAACACATTTGCTACCTTGTGAAAGATGTGGCAGGCTAGGCTATGATTCTTTAAATTAAAATGTGATAAATTTCAAAAAGCTCCAAATGATGCAAGGGAAATTTTTATACCATAAAAAAAAATTCCATACTTTCAATTCTGGAAGTAAAGGAGCAGTTGTTATATAGAAGTTTCTTCTTCAAAATTCACCTTTTCATTACAATACTTTTTCCTAAAAGGATAATTAGGAATGGTTGTACCAATTTGGGATTCGCCAGGGATCCCAGCAATAAATAGGATGACTTTTCCTTTATTGTCATGTTCTAAAGAACAAGTTATAAGAAAGCTATCTGACAAAAAGGAGCTCTGAGCTCCTTTTTATATATAATAAGACTTTTTTTTTTCAATTCAGAACTTAAAAGGCTTTCTAAGTGATCATTTGGAAATTGAATACAGTAACCATTGATAATATGTGAATATGAAGCCAGAGTCATCTAAATAGAACAGACCGCGTTTCAGAAAAGTCAGATGTTCAAACTCAAGATTCTACTCCAAAAAATAGAGTACCAAAAATATCTAGAAACGAGTGAAAGCACAGCTCTTACGCCATTGAGAGTGTTGCTGATCCCTTTCCAGCCTTAGCTTCGACGACTTCTGTTCCACCATCTTGTGTTCTCTTTGTGAGAGCTTTAATGTCTTCATCAGACAAATTGGCTCTTGGTGAGGCCTAATACCAAACATCAAAACATAAGTGTCAGCCTATATAGGACACACATGCACTCGTAATTTCCTACATTTTCCCTAGTATGATAAGCAAAAATTGTAAAATCGATGTGAAGGCAGTACCTGTGAAAACAATGGAAGAATTGTTATGCCTGCATGACCACCAACAACGGGTACATTGACCTCTGCAAAAAAGAGAGGAAATTTAGGCAATGAACTATATTTTAACAATGCAAAATCAAAATATGAAGCTAGCAATCACTACTCTGTAAGTCAATAAATATATGCATCAGCATACCCGCCACATTGACTTTGGCCTTGCCAGCGTAGAATGTCTTGGCCCTAACCACATCAAGTGTGGTCACGCCCAACAGCTTTTTCTCATCATATACTCCTAATCCCTTGAGGACCTCGGCAGCAATTGGGACAGTGGAGTTCACAGGGTTGCTAATCATAGTGACAAGTGCCTGATTGAAATACAGTGTCATTAAGTCGTGGGTAAAATTCAATGATGAAAAAATATAGATGGAAAGGACGGCAGGGCTCACATTTGGGCAATACTTGCCTATGGCAGCGCAAAGAGATTTGACAATGCCAGCATTAATGTTGAATAGATCATCACGGGTCATACCAGGCTTTCTGGGAACACCAGCTGGAATGACGACGACATCTGATCCCTCCAGAGCCTGTTTTAGCTGGTCATCTCCCATGTACCCAGTCACCTATCCATACAAGCAAATACATGGATAAATTATGTGAGCAACAGCACAAAATAATTAGTGAGAAACAAACAAGTAAAAATTTGAAAGTAAACATGTTACAATTTTACAAATTGATATGAAGAAAAGGAATTAGTGATAGCAGATCAAGCATACTCGTAGCATACAGAACTAGAAAGAAAAGACTCAAACGTGCAGAATTGATTAACCAAAATCACAATAATTCTGAATTGTGAACAAACCAACCAGAGTTCAAAAAAAATGTGAGAGAAAATGAGGAACTGATTTACATTTTCAATCGTCTCTCTTTATATGTTTCATGACTCTGATTTACAACACACGATCATGAATTCAATTTCCCCAGCGAGTCTATAAATATAGTATAATTGGCAATACAGAAGAAAACGAAATAAAATAAATTGAAGTATACAAACATGGAGAAATTAGGTACACAAAAACCAACAAGCAAAAAAATAAAAAAGCTCTAAAACCCTGAATGAATACCGAATTTTTAAAAAAAAAATTAAATCAAATAAAAACCACCAAAAAAGAGCAACAAGTTAAAATAAAGATTACTAGTTACAGAGGGAAGCGTAAGGGACCTCAGATCTGGTGTTAATGTGGCTGACGTCAGCGGCGACACCGGGGGTGCCGGCAATGTCGTAAAGGGCTAACTTAGAGACGAGCGGGTTCAGCTTCATGAGCAAAGACAGCGGCTGGCCGATCCCACCAGCGGCTCCAAGAATGGCGACTTTCCGCTCCGGCGCCGACTCTGACGAAAAGCCACGGCGCAATACATACGATGATGATGGAGCTACTGTAGAGCTCCTCCTGAGAAGGGATCTCAATATAGCTGCCTTCATTTTGTGCTTCGTTATATTACAGTGATAGTGTAGACAGAAGTAAAATTCAAAGGAACGGGAACCAAAATGAATTGACAGTGAGAAGAGAAGTGTAGGGCGAGGGTAGATATTTATGGTGGGTGGTTGCGTAGATCGAGAAGTCCGCTGCTTTTAGCTCTGTACTTCGTAATAGTCATCCATCTTGCACTATGTGATCCATTTTTTTCATCTTAATTACGCCAAGGGTCCATAAAATCTTGAATAATTACGTTGATGATCTTTAAAATTGTTTCATTGAGATAATGATCACTCGATTAAACGTATTGATGTTAAATAAAATGCGACCGAACAATTGATAACTTTTTAAATTTTTGAGTGGACAAACAGTAATCAATGGTAAAGATTATCTAATTTTGAGTGAGCAAGCAGTAATCAAAGATAAATATTATTCATTTAATTAACTTTCGAATTTTAACACCGTCAATTGTTACTTAGAATTTTCATCTGTCACATATGATTTTTTGGCACTTGGATTAATGGAATTTAGATAGATATCGATGGATAACATTATGTACAAGTGAGTGAACAATCAATATGTTTTTTTATTTTTTAACGAGCAAGTCGTAATCAAAAGTAAATTTTGGTGATTAATCACTTAATTAACTCGAGGGGAAAATGTAATACGATTTTAATTCTTGACGAATTTTTATACTTTCCTATGTTGAACCCATTCTTTTTTATATTAGATTAGATTAGAATAAAAAGTTTTGTTGACTTTACATGATTGACAATGCCAAGTGGTTGATAAGAGTTTGTGTGGGTAAAGTATTTGTATTTGTCCCTTTTCATGCTTGTTTTTGTGGTGGATAAGAGTTTGATGGAAGACTTTTTAAAAGGAAACCGCAAAAAGGGAAAATAAAGTAAAAGAGAATATGCAAGAACATATTCTCATAAAAATCACTCATTTCCTTTAACTTTTCGAAACTTTTATTCGTTGCAAAATAATCAAATTTATTCAAAATTGCATGGAGAGATTCCCGTAAAGAATATACTATAAACTGTATAATCCACATTTTTCACATAGAGATTTAGTTAAGATTTTTAAAACTATCTAATTCACCATATCAATGAACTTTCAAAACTTTCATACGTTATACTAGTGTCGGTCATTCTCAGTTGATGAAACCATCACATGACTATTAAAATCATAAAAAATTGTTCAAATGGACCATTCTATCATCGTAATAAGAAAAAATTCAAAACAAACATCAACCATCAAAAACCTCCTCCAATCTAGGGGTGTTAAATGGATGGAGTCGAGTCGTTTGGCTCGCTTACCATGAGGCTCAACTCGTTTCAAGGAAATTGGGTTCGACTAGCCACACGGTGAAGTGTGGAATTATTAAATAATGAACTTTAACAACTTTTACAGTCTCACAAGAGTTTTCTGTTGTTCAACTCTCGCCCATAGTTTGCCTCGAGCACGAGACAAGTCAGCTCGGCTCGTGAGACATGCATGGAGCGAAAGGAATTTTTACCATGGTCCATGAATGTGGTTTTAGGAGAATAGATGGTAAGCGTCCATCAACTGATCAAAGTTTGCAACATCAAAAGATAATGGACCTGCACACAAGCACAAATAATAAAAGTTGTAGTATAAATTATTAAAAATGAATATTATTCTTTCTACATCCATAAATCTTGTTTCTAGCATATTTGGAGAATAATGTGCAAACTGTTGGTCAAATTGTTTAATTTAAAGAGTAATTCAATCTTTAATGCTAGACCATCAACAATGCACCACACATCCACCGCACTACCACCACCGGCACCACCGCACCCACCAACATCATAGTTCACACCACCACAAAAAAATGAGGGTCAAATTGGTCTATAACAAGCACGAGGGGCACGGTGTAGTGGAGGCATTTTCTAATAAAAAGATGGTGGAAATTGGTTTTAAGCTGTCACAGGATTGGTGAAGATGGGGTAGGGTGGGTAGTTTACGAGTAGGTGGAGGGGTAAGAATGTTGCTATTTTTTATTTTTTTTTGAATAATGCTATTTGTAAGTAAACGAGTTGTGCGTACAAATAATATGCCAAAAAGAACGTGAGAATGTTTTTTTTATTCGATTGAAAAAATTCTGACACAATTATATCTCACAACATTACGTGTATATAAATCATTATATACATGTATCACAACCTTTTTTTTTTCTATTTCTTTTAAAATTCTCTACTTATAGCATTTCCAGATTACTTTTTATTCATAAAGAACATCTTATTCATAATGGAGAACATCTTAAATTTGGAAAGTATATTTTTTTATGCATTTCAACAAGATCTCTATTTTGACTCTTTATTTTGTTTTTCCAATGAACATTTAGCCCCTGTTTGGTACTCATTAAAATTTTCGTTTTCATTATTCTACTCATTTTCAACCACACATTTTTCAATAAAATGATAGTTTCCATCACATCAATAACTTTTCATTTTTTTCAACCACAAATTCTCCATCAATCTACTATTCCAAAATACATTCTTCCAAAATAATATGGTTCAAACACACACTTAATGATTTATCTTCATATCTTATTTAACTTGATTTTTTTTATATGTTAATGAGCAATCAATTCAATTGTGAGTTGGATTATTTAAATTGTACAATATTGAAATTTGAAACTTATTAAATAGAATAGAGAATGAGTTTAACTCTCTAAATTTGGAGCTTATTTTTAAGCGTCGATTTTTTAAAATATAGAGTATCCTGTGTTTAGAGAGTTTTTTTGGGAGATACCCTTATATACTTTATTTAAAAAAAAACAAGGGTGGAATGTTCATTTAAATAAAAACTTGGTCGTCAAAGGTTCATCCATTAAGGATTTACTTGAGCCGCACTTTTTGGGAATATAAATTTTGTAATAGCGATTTTTTAAAAATGTGTAGTTAAGATTTAGAGAAAAAAAAATTGTTTCAAAATAAAATTATTTTATTTGAGGAATTTTTGATTGAAAATAAATTTTTATGGGATGGAGCTCATACAAAAATAAAAAATTATGGAATTTACACATTTTTAGACCTTGGCTGTGACAATTAGAACTAGTCTTTCCCCCGTGCGATGCACGGTGCGATTCACTCAATAAGCCAATAACCCAGCCCACAATTTCCACAGGCCACTGCCCATACTGCCTACAACTTCCACAGGCCACAGTCTCTTCTCCGTTCACCCCTTTCCGGCATCTGCCTCCTACAACCATATCACCACCGCAGCCTGCTAGACATTCCACTATCTTCGTCGCCCAACAACAANCTTAATAATTTATTACTTGAAATTGCACTTTTACAGTCTCGCAAGAGTTTTCTGTTGTTCAACTCTCGCCCATAGTTTGCCTCGAGCATGAGACAAGTCAGCTCGGCTCGCGAGACATGCATGGAGCGAAAGGAATTTTTACCATGGTCCATGAATGTGGTTTTAGGAGAATAGATGGTAAGCTTCCATCAAAGTTTGCAACATCAAAAGATAATGGACATGCACACAAGCACAAATAATAAAAGTTGTATTATAAATTATTAAAAAAGAATATTATTCTTTCTACATCCATAAATCTTGCTTGTTGTATATACCAATTTCTAGCATATTTGGAGAATAATGTGTAATTGTTGGTCAAATTGTTTAATTTACAGAGTAATTCAATCTTTAATGCTAGACCATCAACAATGCACCACACATCCACCGCACTACCACCACCGGCACCACCGCACCCCCACCAACATCGTAGTTCACACCACCACAAAAAATGAGGGTCAATTTGGTCTATAACAAGCACGGGGGCACGGTGTAGTGGAGGCATTTTCTAATAAAACGATAGTGAAAATTGGTTTTAAGCTGTCACACGATTGGTGAAGATGGGCTAGGGTGGGTAGTTTACGAGTAGGTGGAGGGGTAAGAATGTTGCTATTATTTTTTATTTTTGAATAATACTATTTGTAAATAAACGAGTTACATAATGGTGGCATACAAATAACATGCCAAAAAGAGCGTGAGAATGTTTTTTTTTTTTAATTTGATTGAAAAAATTCTGACAAAATTATATATCACAATATCATTTGTATGTAAATCATTATATACATGTATCACAACTTTTTTTTTGTTTTTCTATTTCTCTTAAAATTCTTTACTTATAGCATTTACAAATGACTTTTTATTCATAAAGAACATCTTATTCATAATAGAGAACATCTAAAATTTGAAGAGTAAAATTTTTTATGCATTTCAACAAGATCTCTATTTTGACTCTTTATTTTGTTTTTCAAATGAACATTTAATGATTTATCTTCATATCTCATTTAACTTGATTTTTTTTATATGTTAATGACCTGTCAATTCAATTGTGATTTGGATTATTTAAATTGTACACTATTGAAATTTGAAACTTATTAAATAGAATACAGAATGAGTTTTAACTCTCTGAATTTGGAGCTTATTTTTAAGCATCGATTTTTTAAAATATATAGAGTGTGTTTGGTAGGGATTTTTGGGGGAAGAATTGATTTTTGAATAGTGATTTGATGGGAAATGTGTGGTTGAAAAAGAAGAAAAAAATATTGATGTGATGAAAAATATTATTTTATCGAAGAATTTGTGGTTGAAAATGAGAATTGATTTACTGTAGAAAAGGAGAATATGTACCAAACAGGCCCATAGTATCTTGTGTTTAGAGAATTTTTTGGAGATACCCTTATATGCTTTATTTAAAAGAAAAAAAACAAGGGTGGAATGATCATTTAAATAAAAAATCGGTCGTCAAAGGTTCATCCATTAAGGATTTACTCGAGCTCCATTTAAACCCTTATATTTAAAATATTATCGCTAAAAAAATTTTGTACATCAATCCTAAAGTTTTTACGATGAACATATAGTTCTTAACATGTAGTTCCACATGTAGTGTGAGACATGGGGATGAGACTCACTTGTATAAAATATTTTTTTATTCAAACGGGTCCCACCCCATGTGAGTGTG